CGGGCTCCAGCTGCGCTGGAGAAGCGCCGGCCGGGGGCGCAGGGTCTGGGGGCTGCCCGGCAAACCGTGAAGCTGGTAGCGCTTGGGCAGCCCTTTCCGCGTGGCTGGGAGTGGGAGGGAGCAGGGGGCGGAGTTAGGGTGGGGAAGGGGCGGAGTTGGGGTGGGGCTGGGGTGGGAAATGGGCGGGGCCAGGACTCTGTGGAGGGTCCTCTTTTTTTATTTGTTAAGTATGGTAACCCTACATGACGGGCCATTGTGCAGATGGGCAGGCTGGGGATGGCTCTTACAGAGACAGTGGTGTCTTGTTCCCTTTGGGGACAGGGGCCCAGAGGGCAGCAACTTTCTATACCCAGAGTGGGCACAGGATGGGCCACCCAGCCCTCGCAGGAAGGGCTCCTACCTCCTGGTGAATGGAGAGGCCAGTCCTCACAGACCGCACAGTCCCTGGTCTCTCTACTGCAGTGGTTCTCAAATTTTTGTCCTGGTGACTCCTTTCACATAGCAAGCTTCTGAGTGTGACCCCCCCCCTTACCCATTAAAAACACTTGTTTATATATTTAATACCATTATAAATGCTGGAGGCAAAGCAGGGTTTGGGCTGGAGGCTGACAGCTCGCAACCCCCCATGTAATAACCTCACGACCCCCTGAGGGGTCCCGACCCCAGTTTGAGAACCCCTGCTCTACTGCGTCTGCCAGGGGGAGATGGGGACTCCCCATCACGAAGGGGGGTTTGTACTGGCTGAGCAGCCACCAGCCGGCCACTGTTGTGGGCACTACCCTGGCAGGGGGGATCTGAGCTGAAGCTTCAAGGGCAAGTGCTTCCTCTCCTACCCCCAACACCCCCCCCCAGCCCCCCATTGGTGCAGAAGGCCCGTCTCTTCTTCTATATTAAGGTCTACGTTTATTTTCTCAGTACAACTCCCCAGCAGCGCCCGGGTTTCCCTGCGATCCCATGCAGAGAGGCCAGCGTGGGCTGGCTGGGAGGACTACGGACACAGCGTTCCATCGCTAGTGCGGGAAAGAGGGAAACAGCTAAGTCCTGGGCCGGTGCAGCCCCTACTGGGTTGAGGTGTGCACTGCAGGAGACTGGACTAGGCGAGCCCAGTGGTCCCTTCTGCCTTGGGATCTGGGACTCTCGCGCCTGTCAATAGCTCTGTGTTATTTGGTGCTCAGTGATCCATTTACAGACTGGTTCCCAGTCTCTGTTAACTGTGTGGGGTGGAGGCCAGGGCAGAATCTGACCCTAGCGGTTTCCTTCGGTCCACGCTGGGAAGAGAAGTGGATGGTGACGTTTATGCCGGACCCCGAGCGCTACATGGAGCGAGAGCCTGGGAACTCAGGGCTCAGGTTCTCCTCGGGGGTGTTTGCCCACTGGCCATCTTCAGCACACCAGTTGCCAAGGTGCGAGTCACAAGGCAGACTCCGGTAGGTCTCTGAGGCAGCTGGTGACTCGGAGGTCTCCATGCTCCCGGTGCTTTGGAATGAGCCGGTCAAGGCGTCTGCACACAAGTCTGCATGAGCCAGTGGGGTGTTTGCCCCTGGCCCGTCGCTGACACACAGGTTGAGCTTTGCAATCAGTGGTTTCCCGATATTTACTGACTGGCTCTCCTCAAGGAAGTCGTCGAGTCCTTGGTATTGGTACTGAAGGCAGATGGTGAAGGCCAGTTCCTTCTGCAACAACACCACGAGCCGGGGTTACCATAGGTGGGCATGTGACAGGACCATGTGACACTGTTATCGCCTTACGACATCTACATCACGCTCCTCACTGCCCTCTCCTTAACCACCAGCCACAAGGTCAATGCTGGTCCTTTGACTCCTGACAGTGCCAACTCCTCCTGGCTGGGACTCCGTTCCGGGGGCTCAGCACCATAAAGGATGGCCTTGTGGGGAAGGCACTGGCCTGGGACCCCAGAGACCTGGGTCAAATTAGCTCTGCCACAGACTCCGTGTGCAGCCCTTGGCAAATCACTTCACCTCTCTCCCCCTTGGTTCCCCAGCTGTACTGCCTTTGTCTGGCTCCTGTTAGCGTGTGTCTGTGAGCAGGGACTGTCCCTGCAGTGCCCAGGAAATGGGGCCCTGCTGTCAGCTGGTGACTCTAGGTGCCACTAGATAATAACTTGGACGTTACCCGAGGGATGCATTGGATCCATTCACTATAACATGCATAATAGCATGGGGAGCTCCTGCCCGCTGAGGCTGCTATTCATTATGTGCATTGCCAGGGCACCTAGGAGCCCCAGTCCCGGACCAGGACCGCGCTGCGCTAGGTGCTGTACAAACACAGAACAAACAGTCCCTGCCCCAAAGGTTACAGTCACTCACTCCAGCAAAGCCCAGCACTGGTGAGAAGGATCGAAATCCCGGTGTCAGGGCACGGGAGTCCCCTGAAGGCAGCGGAGTGAGCCAGCGCATGTACACTAGGGCTTCACTTGGCCTCCTTCTGCATGATCAGGGTCATTATTTTTTCCCTGCCTTTAGCCTCTCTTGGCCTTGCAGGAGCTGGAGTCCGTTCCACCTTGGATGTGGTTACACAACCAGCAGTCTCACCACGAACAGCACCGACGGGGCAGGGCAGCACTTACCCTCAGCTTCTGCAGGCCACAGAGGCGGCTGTAGAGGCAACACTCGGGGAAACTGAGGCTCCAGGCCAGGGAGAGGCTGCTCCCCATTTCCTCTGGGCTCTCCTTGTTGGTAAATTTCAAATCCACATCCAGCTCCTGCCAGAGACAGCACTATCATCAAAGGCAGCCAAGGCATGAGAGGGCACCAGGCTGCAGTACCGCCCACCCAATGCGGTCCGAAATCATGACTCAGCATCCCCGAAATCACGAGATTGGATTGAAAATCATGAGATTTAAAAAATAATAATGGTGGGGGTCTAGTTGTTCCCAGCGCTCAGCCCCCAACCCCGCAGTTATCCCGAGCCAGGGCTCTGAGCCAGGCAGGCTCTGGCACTGGGCCTCTCACCTCTGGGACATCTGTGAGTTTTGCTTCACACCGTGTGATCTCCTGCGGCATCTCGACGATGCGGGTGTAGATGATCAAGATGTTGGAGAACTCAGCAGCGAAGCCCAGCTGTACCCGAGCCCCGCAGTCGAACTGGAGGTATCGGCTTTCAGGAAGCACTGCAAACAAAGAAATGGGCCCATGATATGCGTGTGTGTCTCACTGCCACCTACTGGTCAGAATGAGAACTGTTCAGCCATGTGTCCTAGGCCCTCTCCTACCAACACTATTAATGGAGATTCTCCTTCAGCTGACATGGCAGGGGCCTGCGCTTTGGGAGTGGAGGAGGCTCTGGGTCCTGTCCCCAGGGTCAGTGTGGAGCTCCCCGATGGCAGCTGCTTTGTGACACTAACTCAGCATCCCAGCAGTGCTTGTCCTGATCAGAGCTGGGACAATAGCAACAAAGCCATTTGCAGAAGTTTGACGAGATCTAGGCTTCCTGCTGGGCCCAGCTGTGTGCCCCTCACGCTCTGGCTCTCTGCTCTGTCCCGTGCTTTCTGGGTAACTGCATTGCAATGCCTGCTCCATGGGCTGAGACCTCCCCAAGTCACTGCAATCCCTGGGGGCTCCCTGAGTAACGCCCTCCCCCCCGCCTCCAGGACAGGCCTCTCTCACTGTCTGCCTCCCTCAGCAGGGATAACGGGGCCCCAATTCTCACCATGGGCCTTGGCCCATTGCAGGTTCCTGACAGAGAACTCCTCTGGGCCCTCGGACGGTTTAATTGGATCAGTGAGGGCTCGTCGCTCGGACAGGTTACTCCGCAGCTCCAGCGCCTGCCTGCCCTTGGTGATCTCCAGGGTTCCCATGTCTGGAAGACACAACCAGGGCTGGGCACATGACTTCAGCACAGCCGTGAGTCAACGGCTCGCCGACAGTCCTGAGCTGTAACGGGCTGGCCTGGAAGAGTCATTCTACCCCCACCCCAGGATAACCCACCTTCCGCCACCTTGTCCAGCAGCACCGTGATCTTCTCCTCCTCCAGCAGCCATCGCTTCAGGAAGCTGACGAAGATGCCGTTGAACAGTTCCCCTTGGCTCAGCTCGTAGGCCTCTGCGTCCGCACATCTGGGAGGGGCACGGAAGAGAGCTAAGGCCTGGAGCTCCTTCATGGCAGGGGTGAAGCCTCTTCTATGCCCAGCTGCTCCCTTTCTCCCGCTGAGCACAGAATGGCCTGGGAACCTGGCCTCAACAGCAGCTGGCTTGATTCGGACTCTTGAGGAAGCTTTGGGTTCAGGCAGAACGGCTCACCAGAGATGGTCCGGAACCAAGACCCTGGCTCCAGACACCCTTACAACCTGGGGAAGTTCAGGTTTGGGTCTGGGCCTAGGGCAGGGGTGGGCAAACTCCGGCCCGCAGGATCGTCCTGCCCGGCCCTTGAACTCCCGGCTGGGGAGGCTCGCCCCTGGCCCCTCCCCTGCTGTCCCCCCTCCCCCGCAGCCTCAGCTCGCCGTGCCGCCAGCGCGGGAGGGGGCTGCACTGCAGGGACAGGGGAGAGCAGGGAGGGAAGCTCAGGGGAGCAGGCGGGCGGTGCGGGTGGCGGGAGCCTGGCAAACGACTCAGGAGGAGCACAGGGCGGCC